TTTATTTGATTCGTGTTATTTGTAAGACCTGAGTGCGAGGAGGATTATTATCAAGGGACATGAGAAAGATGAACTGTATTATCTAAGCAATCCACATCCAGTTTTTCCACCTCCATCACCTGCTTTGTCTTCATTTGTTGCTAGCTTGCATGCTAGTATTTTACTTAGTATTTGTTGTTATGATTTTTTACCACAAAGTGTTCAGTTGTAGCATGACAGTTTTGGACATACAAATTTTAAATATTTATGTATGTTATTTCCTATTTTGAACAATGCTTGTGTTAATGGTAAACTTGACTATGTTATATGTTCCCTATCGAAACATGTTTAGACTAGTTATATTCCTCGCATGCACCAGTCACCCAAGCTATTTGACCTAATATAGTCTGATATTTGGGGATCCTCTCCTGTTATTGCTCTATTAGGTGTTTGATACTATATGACATTTATAGATGACCATACCCGTTATACTTGGATGTACCTTTCACATAAGAATTTTGATGTACTCTTTGTAATCACTCAGTTTCTCTAGATGATGAAGACACAATTTGATGTCATTGTTTGTGCTCTTCATTCGAATAATGCCAAAAAATATATGTCTGATGTCTTAGTGTCTCACCTTTCCTCTCAAGATATCATTCAACAACTCACTTGTCCATATACTCCAAATCAAAATAGAGTTGCTGAAAGAAAAAATAGGAGTCTAATAGAGATGGTAAGTTATATGCTTAGAGGTATGGGGGTACCAAAATTTTATGGACATTTTGCTATTTTGACTTCTACCTTTCTGTGCAATTATACACCGAATCGTGTTTTTCAGCATAGGATGCCCTTACAGGTCTTATTCCCTAAGCGGACACTTTTTTAAGTCCCCTCTTGTGTTTTTGGCTGCACATATTTTGTTCAGGATCGGTCTCCTACTCGCCATAAACTTGATGATAAAGCGATTCATTATGTCTTTGTGGGCTATTATCATCAGTCTAAGGGATATCGATGTTATGATCCTATAAGGCGTGTATGTATCACAGTCTAGATATTACTTTTTTCTAGCAGATTATTATTTTTCTTCCATTACTGTGTCTAGTCCTCCAGTTGATAATACTCCCTTTGATTTTTCATTCCCACAAGAGTTAGAACCATTGGTCACTATCATTATAGAGTCATCAGTCTCTTCTCCTCCAGAGCCACTCATCCCTGTCAGTACATAGTCACTAGTCTCTCTTCTTCTGTAAGTTTATGTTCGTCACCCTCGCTCTCATCCCTCTGCTGATGTCCCCTCTACCTCAGGCGATGCAGGTAATACTTCTCAATTCGTTGAGCATATTGATGCACCTGCTGTTAGTACTGATGAGATTACAGGTATGAGCCATTTACTTTCCCTGATAAGACATTGTCAGCGGAGGATGATGATTTAGGGCGTCGTTATCCATGGCGTGATCGTCGTCCAGTTGTTCGTAATGGTTAGACCTCCAAGACTTTATACCCGATCTCTGCTTATGTTCCTTATGGTGATTTGTCTCCTACATTTCGAGCTTATAGTATGGCCTTATCAAATACGTCGATTCCTCACTCTATTTTAGAGGCTATGTAGGAGCCCTAGTGGATTCTTTCCATGTAAACGGAGATGGACGCTCTTCCGCGTAATCATATGTGAGATTTTGTTATTTATCTTCAAGGGTGAAGCCTGATGGTTGGGTTTACACCCTGAAGTTTCTTGCAGATGGTACTATTGATCGTCACAAGGCTAGACTTGTGACAAAAGGCTTTATTCAGGTACTAGGTCGTGATTTTGGTACTACATTTACCCCCGTGACAAAATTGACTACTGTTCGATTGATTATTTCTCTGACTGCGGAGTACTTTTGGTTTTTTCATCAATTAGATGTGAAGAATGAATTTTTTCATGATGATCTGGACGAGATTATTTATATGGATGCCCCACCAAGCTTTCATAGTGAGTGAGAGTATGCTGGGAATGTGTGTCGATTGCATAAGTCTCTTTATAGACTGAAACAGTCACCATGAGCCTGGTTCTCTTCATTTAGTGGTGTAGTTATACGTTTAGGGTTCACTAGATATCATTCTGATCATACATGTTTTATTCGATGAAATAATTTTGAGCAATGTGTCATCCTTTTAGTATATGTGGATGATAATATTATTACTGGGGGTCATATTTATGGGATTGCACAGGTCAAGGTAGACATTGGGAAGACCTTCGATGTGAAGGACCTTGGATTTCTACGATACCCTCTTGGGATTGAGGTTGCCCGTAGCAGCAGAGGGATGTTTTGGATCTTCTATCTGACACTGGGATATTAAGTTGCAAACTGGCATCACCAACCATAAGTCCAAACCTAAAGCTTACTACTGAAGGTGAGAAGTTGAGTGATCCGATTGTCTATCAGAGGTTGGTAGGTAGACTTATCTAGCTAGCCAACACTATACCAGACATTTCATTCGTTGTTAGCCGAGTTAGTCAGTTCATGCACAGGTCGTGTCAGTCTCATCTTGATACAGTTTATCATATTTTTTGGTACCTCAAATATTGTCCTGAACTTGAGTTGTTTTATACATCAGGATTTCAAATTTGTTCTATAGCCTATTATTCGGATTTAGATTATGGGGAAGCGTGTGACGGTTGATCTACTATGGACTTTTGTGTTATTCGAAGGGCTCATCTTATCTCTTAGAAGAGTAAGAAACAGTCAATTGTCTCCCGCTGGTCAGCAGAGGCAGAGTATTGAGCACTAGCACTTGACACATGTGAGATTATCTGGCTACAATCGATTCTTGGTGAGTTGGGATTTCCAATGAATTCTTCATCTACATTATATTAGGATAATCGATCTGCTATTCAGATCGTTTCTGACTCTGTACTACACTAGAGGACAAAGCATATAGAGATCGATGTTCACTTTCTTCGAGAAAAGGTTAGTTGTGGTACTGTCATTTCATTGTTTTGTGAGGACCAGTAATCAGGTTGCAAATGCTGTCACCAAACCTGTCACTCTATTCATTCTCTGGGACTCTGTTGTCAAGCTTGACTTAGTTGATATTTTTGCACCTAACTTGAGGGAGAGTGTTGCAGTATAGTCTAGTTTATTAGGGTTTCTTTTTTCCTTTTTTTATCCTTACTATGACTTTCATATTTTGCCTAGACCACAAAGATATTTAAGTCACTTTGTACTATTATTTAGTTATATATACGTAGCTCTACTCTTAGTTTGAATATCCATTTCTACTTACAAATACATCAAGTGTTCCAATACAAGAAATCATATCCTTTGTTGTACAAAACAATTAATGGTACTGCATGTGAAAAATTTCCCTAATATTTAGTCCAACAAACTAGAGAGCTAAATTTTTTCCCACACAATTTTCCTAGCTTTTTAAGATAAGAACTTATTGTGATTTCTTACTTCTTACTTTCTGTTATTTCAGGTAATGCATTCTGGAATTCCACTCACGCTAATTCCACTGGATGCAACAAATACCATCCCAGTAAGCGAGAACTTCTTTAGAGCATTAGAAAAGAATCAGAATACATATGACGCACAGTACTGCTTCCAATCTTTGAAGATGGCTCGTGATACCTGGTTCAATGATGAGTTTTATAAGGTGATGTTTTAAGCTATTTGCATCTTATTCTCTCTCGCGAGTACATAAGAATTTCGGGATATTAATGGTTACCTCCAATCTTGCATGTAAGGTTTATCTTTTTTGGATATCTTGGTACATAATGAAGTGACGTCTTTCTGCAGAATTACTTCTTGTGGGACTCCTTTATGGCTGGTGTCACCATATCTATCATGTGCAAGTCACGAAGCAATCATGAAGAAAATGAATTTGCCAAGATGGAATACATGAATATAAGTGTAGTCACTGCAAATGAACCTTATGGAATATCTGATGGTTCAAATCCTTTCTTTGATGGCCGTGCAATCCCAATGTATAATATGCAAAAGAATGGGGTGCAAATGTGGCCATGTGCAGTCCGGAATGCGAGATCATCTAATGGGAAAGGAAGATGTGTGGCATCGGCTTTTGTTGATGGTGACATATAGACAGATAGATCTTTTCTCTCCGTATTGTTTTAGCGTTAAGTGTGTCAAGGAAGCAACAGCAAGCAAGAGTTTTCTACACAGAATGCAGTTCCGGCATAGACATGTGCCTAGATCACATTGCACTTGTTTGATCAAATGAAATCTTGGTGATTATCCTAGCTGCAGGTGCCGACTGCTTAACAAAATCTCCTGATTAAATCTTGAGATGATTTATTGCGGTCGAGCAATGATTGTACTGGCTCAAATCAAACTATTGTTTACTTCACAGAAGTTAGTGTCATTATAGATATCGAACATTATGGCATGAAGTAAAAGATACATAGGCTAATTTACGGACTAAACTATACACTTGCAGGATGGCTACAAAAAAGAGGTGCCTGATTCGGAAGCAGTGTGTGTTCTGGTGACAACAGAAGCCAAACATGTTGATAGAATGGACAGTTTGCTTAACAGAAAATTTTACAGAAACTTCATCGATGTAATATCTTGAGACCTCCAATCCACATTTAACCCCCCCCCCCCCCCCCCCTTTCACTTATAGTTCTCCAAATGTCAAGGAAATTGTTTCATTGATGGGTTTAATAAGTATGAAGGAGATGGGACCCTGCTAAACAAGACATAGAGGACAACAGTGGGCAAAAAATTCACTACTAGATAAATTTGCAAAAATAGGAACAGCATGAAGTAAGATTTTGACTTGTAAACAGAACATAGGCATTGAATTTGAAACACTTAAGCGAAAAAAGTGATATTTTACAGTTATTCACAGTGAAGTATAGGCAGTGAGATGTACACAATTTATTTGTTATACTCTGGATATGTTGTTGAATGCAGGTTATAAACCACCCTGAGCATACTGGGAGGTTTAACATTAAAACAAAATTTCCCTATGGCAAGGAAGTTACATACAAACCAGATTTAGGAACTAGATAAATGGGAAAGCCGGTTGTTTTTGACATGGATATGAGTGTTGGGGACTTTGTAGCTCTTTTTTATCTCCTGAAACTACCTGTGGAACTCATCAACCTAAAGGTAAAGTACTATCTTTTACTTTATGTTTTTTCTTTTGCTATGCATGCCATAGAAGACATGTTTTTCAGATTGAAAACAGTGTGCTTGTAGGAATGCCGAGGTATGTGCTACATATTTCCCCACCTTACCAGAGTTTCGAATTTCATCTCGACACCATTTTCATATTGGGAGCAGTTCCAATGTGAAATGTTTAGGGGGAACTCTAAATAAGGCCAAACACTTATAAATTACCGAAGGAATGGATCCTCAAACCAAGACAAACTATGCCCAAATTTCAAAGCAATATCTGAGTACTCATTTACTTTCAATCAAAAGTGAGACCTACTATATGTTACCATAGCAAACCAAGTTCTTTTTAATGGGAATCTGAATAATATTTTTCCCCATAATTGGGAAGTGGATGAGAAAAAGATATCAGAACTTCCATGAAAATGACGTTTATTTTGTTTTCCAGGGAATATTGGTAACTTCAACTGGTTGGGCAAATGCTGCAACGATAGATGTCATATATGATGTACTGCATATGATGGGCCGTGATGACATTCCAGTTGGTCTAGGGGACGTATTTGCCATTGGCCCAGAAGAGCCTGCATTCCCTATATTGGAGATTGCAAATATAGGAAGGCCATCCCACTTGGCAGTGGTGGCCTTTTGGACTCTGATACACTCTATGGTTTTGCTCATTACTTGCGTCGCAGTCCTAGAAGGTATTGTTGTTCATGATATACACGGTGTACTGATTTTTAGATGTTATTATAGCCATATGATATGATTCTCGTCTAAAGTGGTTTTAAGTTAACCAAATCAAAAAACTCTGCAAAAAATTCAGTTACTAAGGAAGATGAGATTCAGTATGTTCGTCTAGACTATAAATACGATAGGGGAGTCATAACAATGGAAAATCCTGTAAGAAGCGAAATGCCTTAAGTTTTGGAAACATAGTAGATTGAGCATGTTCATCCAGACTCCAGACTAAATATATGCAAGAAGAAAGGTAAGACACAGCTTCATGCTCATAGCCAATTTTCTACTGGCCACTATCTTTTCTAAAAAGAGCCTCATGCAATGGAGTGCATGTTTCATTATTATGCATAGTCATCCTGGTGTTAGAACCTCTTCAACCAAGATTTTAAGCATGTGTATCACAAGCCTGTTAATGTCAATCATAGCAATTACAATGAATATTATGATATACTTTACAATGTTTAGTTTCATGACTAAACATTGAAGATATAGTTACCACAAGGGCAGCAGGGCTATTGTCCCTATTTCCGTAAGCAACATCACATGTTGTGATGCATCTTACTACATGACAATTTTAAAAATTTCATACCTCAGAAGGAAGAAAGAACAATTCAGAAGTTCTATGAACAAAAATCTTGTTACCATATAAATTTGAAATGAAGAACCACATTAGACCTTTTCTGTGAAAGGGGGATTCAAACAAAAATAGCCCACTGTAGTACATATAATATCGGTCGCTTGAGTTGTGGTCAATGTCATATAACTATCTTCCTTGCCTGGTTTTTGTATCTGCATATACTCATAAATCCACCATGCAAAACCTGGTATATTTTGGTCAGACGCCATCACGGTAACACCAAACTGACTATGCTGTTTCTCATTGCAGTCTAGGAAGCAACTTTGCACTGCTTATATCAGTTTGTATATCATTAAATGCTTGCTTTACGTTTTGACAAATTACTGCTTCAATCACCCTGAACTAAGACAACCTTTGGCACTGGATGTTTGGAAGTTCATCATACATTCACTGGAACCAGGATCAAAGGTTACTATATTAACGAATGGACCCTTGACTACTTTAGCCAAAATCATCCTTCCAGAGAACTCTTGCTCCTTGATTCAGGTATATGCTTGTCATTTTTTTTTTTTGCAGAGTTGCAGTAATGGCAGTTCAGGACTCTTGGTCATTGTCCTAAAAGTGTAGCTTGGGCCACTTCAAACAAAATATCAACCGGCATAGTTTCAATTGCTTTGTAGGAGTTCTTTATCAGGGCGGTTCAAGGTAGGTAATTTGAGGCGTAAAATGGTAATACTAAATGAAATTTTTTTATTCTTAGTATTATTTTTAGAAAATCAAAAAATATTTTTAATTTTTTTTAAGTGAGAGAGAAAGATGTGATACTTTTTTTTTATTTTTTAAGAGAGAGAGAGAATGGATGCGAGTAAATATTAGTTGATTTTTAAATATTTTTTTATTTATTTTTTAAATTTTTGATTTTTTAGTTTTTAATGTTATGGATTGAATTGTAGGTCCAAATTATTAAAATTATAATTTTTTGATTGGGTTTAAATTTTTTGGGGCCTTTTTGTAAGGCATAAGATTTTCATAGATTTAAATTTTTTATGTAAACTAATTATGTATCTAAATTATAGAACTTTCTAAAAATTTAAGACATAAAGTCCACGCTTTTTTTTTAAAACAGTTGGGCCGGCCTTGGTGGACACATTAGCAATGCCAAGGAGAAGGGAAATCTATGCGCTTTCCCCTGAAATGAATATGCAGACTTGAACATGTTTCTTGATCCCTTGGCAGCAAAAGAAGTTTTAGATTCAGAACTAGACGTCACACTCATTCCACTGGATGTGCAGCGAAGAGTTAGTTGTTTCAAAGAGTGTCTTGCCAAACTGAGGCTCTCAAATAAAACCCCCGAGGCTACTTTTGTTACACGTTTACTTTCAAGGAGGGTTGTTAATCAACAGGGCGGCCGACAAATCTGGAGGCCCTAGGCAAGAATATGAAACGGTGCTCTATTAATAGACAATAATTATTAAAATATATTCATTTAAAAACTATTTTTTAAGGTTTTTGAGATGCAAAAATATTGATTAAATTTTTATATTCAAGTTTTGTTAATAGATATTTTTCAATAAATAATATAGTTAATTCATTTAATCTTTTTTGTGACATAGTTGATCGGAGATAAAATTTTATTAATTTAAGTTTTAAAAAATTTCTTTTTGCTAAAACAATTTTTAACAATATTGTTAACAATATTCTAAAAACAATACATGCATTTCAAAAAAAATCTAATCGTTTTATATAAGTTATAGTTTCAGCAATCAACTATCAAGACTCAATTATTTAAGTTTCTGTCAAAAAAGGAGATATTTTAAATCAACAATAACATCAAAAATATGAAATCAACATATTAAAAATTCTAAGCACACCAAACTTCTAATTTTTTTTATAAAATTTTCTAATAGAAAATGAGAGAGCAATTAAATAAACCAGTTTATTACAGTAGATTGAGCCTAAAAAATTCTGACCCTTAAATCTTGATCACTATCAATTAATTGAAGGGTTTTTCAACTACAATAGATTAGAGAATAGAGAGCTTTGGTGTTCTTTCTTTGTTCAAATTAGACTTCACACTTCACAGAGAGAAAGAGAGAGAGAGAGAAGGCATGAGGGAATGACGTTAAACAGACACTGTGGTTTGTGAGTAAATACCATAAAAATAGTAGTTAATAAATTTGTGCGAGAGGTGGAGTAATGTAGGGAGATTTGCTTAATTCCTTCAAAGATGTGAGAGAGAGAGAGAGAGAGAGACCTAGTCAATTACCTTCCTTGTTTTAAAAGTCTAGCAGTCTACTATAGCTGGCAAGTGGAGCAATTTTCTAGGTAAATTATTGAAGTATTAATAGACCTATCAATAAAATTTAGACCCTCTCAAATCAGCTCATCCAAAATACATGTACCCATAACTAAAACTCTTAATAGAGGGTCCCAAAATTTTACAAAAATTGGGGGCCTTAGGTAGCCAACTAAGTGACCTAGGCCTAGAGTCGGGCCTGTTAATCAAACTGAGCTACTCGAGTTTGGCTCGGGTTTGGCTCGTTCAGGCCAAAACTTGAACAAGTTTTTAGGCTCGTTTAAAAAACAAGTCCTATAAACTCGACTCAAACTCGGCTCGAGCTCAACTTATTTTTGGCTCGTTTTATAAATGAGCCGAATTTAAACAATTTTTTATACTCAATTAAAAAAACAAAATTTTCAAGTTCAGCTCGAACTCTGCTCGGATTTGTTCAACTAAAAGCCCTACTTTTAAGGCTGTGCGGTTGCAAGAGAGGCATCCAAGATACCATCACATGGTAAGGTTGTTGAAATTCAAAATTGTCTACTGACAGACATTATAGTACATCCATCCTGGTTCATTTTCCTAATGAACCTTTCTTTGCATTTAATTTAGTCTATAGAAATGGAGATTTAGCTGAAATTAAGTCATTTCCTCAAAATAGACAAAGAACTGGAGAAGCTATTATTAGGACATGCATAAACTTACAATCATCCGGTGAACATGTAAGGAGGTTCCAAGGAGGAAGTTTGACTTACACTAGGTTTGTTTTCTAGATATCTCCACCAGCCATTAAAAAAGGTTCATAGCTATGATAAATGTCATCAAAAAAATTAGTACTTTCTAAACGAATTGTTCGGATACAAGGAATAGTAATGCTTCATTTGGTAGTAGGTTTAAAAGTAGGAGTGATACATTTTTCTTCTTCTGTGTTTGGTTGGATGGATGAAAAATAAAATTTTTTTTTTTTAATTTTTTTTCGTGCTACCTTAGATTAGGGGTGACAATCAAGTCATACGTGTTGAATTATAAAATTATGAGCCTTTTATATTTCTGATTCGTGTGTCAAATCATTTTCAAATTTGTGCTGAGTTATAATTAAATTCGTGTCATAAAATTCGTGTCGAGTTCGAATCGTGTCATTGTATTGAATTGAAAATTTTCACCCCTAATTAAGATGAAAAAAATATTTTTTTAATTTAAATTTTTTATTTTTAATTTATTATTTATTTTTAATTTTTTTTAAAAAAAATAGATATATATATATATATAAGTACATATTTTATCATTGTATTTTTATATGAAATTAATTTATACATAATATATGTATATGTTAAAAGATAGATAAACAAATGAGATACATCTCAACACAAATAATTAATTTTTCATCCACTTTCTTTCCTATTTTGGAGGGATTGATTTAGCTGAATTGGAAGAAAAATTAATTTATCCACTTTTACATCCTTCCTATTTTCTTTCATTACCAAATATGATATTTTATTTATCCTTCTAATTTTTCATCTTTTTATTTTTTTCATCATACCAAACAAAGCATAAGAGTCTAGTGTGCTTCTCTTGAAATGAAGATGGAAGAGTTAGAGACACAACACTTTTTATATCTAGGGTGGGTTGTTCATAGGATTCTAATCATGGGAAATAACTGGACGAATGCTTATTATATATTATGTGATTTGGTAAAATAAGAAAGGATGCAATCAAACAATGAATTTATTCTTAAAACTGACCAATAAAAAATAAATTATGGGATAATAGATTTGGATGGTTTGGGAAAGAGTGATTTGGTTCATATCAATAGTAATGTTGAAATTAATTTTGAACTAGATAGTAATAAAATGCAATAGCAGGTTTAATAGAAATATGATTTATGTAGCTGATCTTAAATAATCGGGATAAAAGTTTTACAGAGTGAAGTGCATGTGTTAGAATATAATAAAGTTTTTAAAACTTCTAATTTTATATTTTGAATCTTAATCAACCTCAGTTACAGAATTTTTGATCCATATGAGCAATTTGAAATTTACATAGAACAAAAAACCTTCCTACAGTTCACACCTATGTTTATAGCTATTGATGAAACAAAGGTATAAAATATTGATTCGGGTCGGGTCAGCAATAACATGTGAAGTTAAAGAAGCAAATGAGCAGTCTTCATGGACAATTCAATGCCCAACTTTGAAATGAGCAACCTGTATGGGCAATTCAATGCCAGATTCAACTCTACTTTGATATGGATGTGATGATTGGGTAGATGCATTTGGGTTAAATTTTGGGGTCACTTGTGCTACTTGCGAGTATTTAGGTTGAATT